TTTTAGCAACCTTTCTCTAAATTGACTACCTTGCATCAACCCTAGGTGTCTCATTTTACTTTTAGTTTTAAAAATGTCTATACATTTGACATTCTGCATTGTGCTATTAAAGAAATACTCAGACTGAAATTTTAGAGGTTGCCCTTTTCATGTACCAAGTAACCCGGGCCCCTTGGGAACCCTGCGTTAACTAGGCTCTTTAATACTTGCTGAAAAATTCCAAGTGACATTAGAAGAGTGATTTGCAATGTTTTGCTTCCTCTCCTGTAACATACACCAGCAAGTTTATTGCACTAAATTTCATCTGTTAAGAGCTGTCATCAGAGCCAGATGTCAGAAACAACTGAGGCTGCCATCTTGAGGCTGCGAGAGCATGTACGGTACTTAAAACTCCATCTGCCTCCATCGGGCTTAACAGTTGGAACTTTTAGCACAGGTGTAGTCTGGCAATCTTGGATTCTGAACTGGCAGAGAGAGGAGGCTTTTTAAATATAAGCCCTGCAAGTAAGCCAGACTTGTCTCTGCTGGGAAATGATGCTCCAGTCCAGCTCATTTGGCTGACTGATGCTCTGGACCGGAGCCCCAAAGTAGGATCCAGATGGATAACTGCTGTTGTATATGCCCAGTCAAAACTAAAAGCTAAGAAATTCAACAGGTCTTACTTCCAGGTAAATTGGTGGATGCAATTTAATGGTTCTTCCTGATGGTATTTTATTTGGGGCAAATTTACTCCCGTAGGGGGTTTAATCAGAAGAAAATCCCAGGTTGCCACAAGGCATTAGAATTTTGGGGTGAAGGTGGGGGGGACCCAAACGTTCATTGGTTACACAGGTCAGTTTGGGGGTTATTTTTAATCAGCACTTTTAATCAGTACTTTTATTACACACACACACACATATATGCACACCTGTTTATACAGTGAGAATCTCACACATAGTGAGATTCAAAGGTGTGTTTATTTTATTTCCCAAGGCATTTTGGGGTGAAGGTGCGGGGACCCAAACGTTCATTGGTTACACAGGTCAGTTTGAGGAGGACTGGATTGGGGGTTATTTTTAATCAGTGTTTTTAATCAGTATTTTTTTTATCACACACACAGAGTGAGATTCAAAGATGTGTTTATCTTATTTCCCAAGGCACTGATTAAAAATAACCCTCAATCCAGTCCTCCTCAAACTGATGCATATTTTTAAAAAGGAAGTGTCGTGGAAGGGCCACTGTTGAACGCTTTTTCGGCTTGTCCTGCTGCAGCTCGGCCGTCCACAAATCATATACAAGCCATCTTATAAGGAAGACTGAGCAGACATGGCTACTCGTCCAAGGACTGGAAACTCAGTTCCCTGGCCCCTCCATCACCCCCCCTCCCTCCAGGTTCCTCGGAGTCGCTTCGAATCCCGACTCTTCAGCAGAATTGGGCAGGGGGATTTTGGGAGAAAGGGCTTCCTGGGCAGCTTCTTTTCTTACCCGCCACTGAAGGCTCGGGCGTATGCAAACCGGCGACATGCAGAGGGATGGCGTGTTTTTTCCCCCCCAATGCGCAAGTTTTAGAAGTAGACTCCTACGGTTCTTAAGATTGGTAACGCCACCAAATTGGTAGGAAGGTGCTCTCTTTCTACAGAAGGGTTCGCACCCAGGACTGCAGAACGGAAGAGCTGTAAAAACGCTCTGGACGTCACGAAGGAGCGTGGCGCCAGGATTAAAATCGCTGCGGAAATTTAGGATTCAGTCCAAGCTCAGCCACGGAAAGCTCGTGGGCAGCTCTGAGCCAGCCAGTCACTCTCTTTCATCCCAATCTCGCTTTAAATCTGACCCAGAAGCTGGCAATTTAAGAGAGCAACAGGTTTATTCTCACATAAGCCTTCGTGGAGTGGCGTTGGCAGATCATCACGGTAGGTCGTCTGGAAAATATATTTCTGCCACAGGCAAGCCCCTTGCACGGTAAAGTTTACGGATTCAGCCGTCTGGGCCTGCTCGTTGGATTCCCCTTAAAACGCACCCGGCCACAGGGAAGCCGGGTGAGGAGTTGCCAAATGCGCCTGCAAGTATCTCTTGCGAGCTTAAATCGTTCGCTTTCTGTCAAGGGGAAGAAAAACGTCTCTCTCCAAACGCGCGGGGCCCGGGAAGTGATTCCTGGAGAGAGAATATGGCTCTTTTGCCAGAGAATGGCTCGTGGAGGCTTTAGGGGAGATGCAGAAATAGCAAAAGTGCACTTCAGGATACGGAAGAACAACGTGAAAAGTGCCCCGAGATAGCCGAGACTTTGAGGAGAGTTGCGAAGTTTCGGCTGGACGTTCAAATTTAGTAATGCAAGAGATTAGGGAACGTTAATCCTTGAGCTCTCAGAGGTGGGACCCGGTCTCGGGAGAGGATTGTGGGCAGATTTGCCTTCTCTGGAAAGGCTGAAAACGGAAGAGGACAGAATAAAGCTTCCCATTGCTTTCCAATTCGTTCAGCCCAGCTGTTCAGGGCAGCTAGTTTACTGTGTGTTGGCGGGGAGGATTGGAGAATCCACGAGGGAAAACTCCTGAACTATATTAAACTCTGCTGGAAAGCCCCGATTGCTGGATTTGGCCCGTTTTTAGCACAGTCGGGCGGCGAACTCAGCCTGAAGGAAGGTATTGGTGCCTTTTTAAGTCCGCAAGTCTTAAAGTTGCCAAGGTTGGAGACCCCCTGTTTTAAAACACCTTTTTCCTTCAAAAAGTTTCCCCTTCCACCTTACCTGCGAAAAAGGCATCAGATCACCTCTACCTCTCCATGCCCGCCCTGGGTTTGCCAATTCCATAGATCTCTCCCCGTCCGCTGAACTAGATCCTAACCGCCAACCTGGGCAGCTTTAGACAAATCCCATGGGTGCTAAGGGTACAGGCGGCTATGAGAGGTACTTCATGGGTTGCCTGGCTTATCGAAGAGTGTGTTTATGTAACAATGCTGGCTAGTAGCTCAACCATAAAAACCCTATGCTTCTATAAGGCCTGCAGCAAATGGCAGCATCGCCCACCCAAAGGCTAAAAAAAACCAACAACAACGGATCGGGTTAGTCCGTTGATGGGAGACCACCAGGAGTTCTTATAGCTAAAGAGTAAAGACTAGGCCGGGAAATAAATAACAAACAAACAACAAAATCTCGAAAAAATGAGCGATAAATCCTTTCCTGCTGTTGCCAAGCGAACTGTGTGAATGTTTCCATATAACCACTAGGGATCAAGTTTGATTCCAGCTAGAATAATACTCCTTTTTTGGGGTCAGGGTGGTGAAGAGGGTGAAAGCAGAAGAAAGATGAGATGGAGAAAAAGTGGGACCAGATTGGGTTTTGTTGCTTCGATCCCTCTTGATGTTGCAGGGAGTTGGCCGAAAGCATTTTTGACCCTTTAGTCCTAGCTAATTCCAGAACTGACCTTTCATGGCCCCCGTTATTGGAGGAAGGGTCCCGTGCGCAAGCCAAAAAAATAAATAAATTCGGGTCAGCTGAGCCGCTTGGCAGAAGGTGAGCCAACCTAGTTCCTTTCTTACCAAGCCAGACCTTCACCAACCAAGTCGGAACTGAGGTCCCATCCGGCCCCGGCTGAGTTGAAAGGGTTTACGGGGGATCCGGGTTCTTGTTTCGAGGTGGTGCGGCGAAGTTCGGGAAGCGGCCCTGTCGACCCGGCTGGCAGAATTATGGCCCATTTCAGAGGGTATTTGGAAGGAGGGTTAATCTTTGCCTCCCTATTTAAATCGGGCGACATTTCAAGTAGCCCCTGACCGAAGTTAGGCGCCCGGCTCCAGCGTCTGTAAGCAAAGGAGAGGTAGGTAGGTAGGTAGGTGTGTGTGTGTGTGTGTGTGTGTGTGTGTGTCAAACCCGTCTCTCCTCGCCATAGAAGCCCCTTTTCAGAAGCCGTCCCTCTTGAGGAATTCCTTCCCCGTTATCACCTTTTCCCCGTTTCAGCATCCCCGAACCTCCGAGGACCAGAAAGCACCAGAAGGCAAGGGAGAAAAATAAAAAAATAAAAATGGACGGAAACTAATTAAGGAAAGCAAGCTGGAATGAAGGGGAAACTTCTTAACGGTGAGGACAATCAACCAGGGGAACAGCTTGGCCTTCAAAAGTTGTGGGTGCTTCATCACTGGCTTTTCAGGAGAGACTGGACAGCCACCTGTCTGAACTGGTATAGGCCAGGGTCTCCTGCTTGAGCAGGGGGTGGGGGTTGGACTAGAAGATCTCGAAGGTCCCTTCCAGCTGTATTCTGATTGATTGACCCCCGAACGAAGAGGGCTGTGCCAGGCGAGCGGCGGGTGGGCGAGGCTTAGCCTCCCCCCCCACCAACCCCGCGCCCGTGCCACGCTCCTTGGCCTGGGGGAGATGGGGGAAGAGAGCGCGGGTCTCTTGCCCTTCCCGCCCCTCGCCCTCCTCCTCCTCCTCCTCCCCCCCAGTCGCCTGAGCGTTCTGCGCCCCGGGAGGGCCGCCTTGCTGCGGGAAGTGTGAATGGAGCGGCCGCGCGCGGGGCTGACTCCTCCTCCGTCTCGCGCCGCCAGTCGCTCTCAATTAGCCCAGCTTCGGGGGCTGGAGGGCAAAGCCGCGGCTGAGGGAAGAAAGTTCAAGTGCGGCTTTTCCAAGCGCTCCTGCGGGGCCGCCGCCGAGGAGAGCCGAGCCGAGCCGAGCCGAGCCGGCCAGCCAGCCAGGGTCCCTCGGGCTTCTTCCAACTCCGGGGCTTCGAGCCTCTGGTTTTTTGTTTTCCTTTTCCTTTTCCTTTTTCTTTCCGCGCCGGTCGGGCTAAAGGGCGACCAACCTGGAGACCAACCTGGCCTTCTCGCTCCTGCCGGCGTCGGCAGGGCTGGAGCCCGCCGCTTGCCTCCCCCCCGCGGACCCGGCCTCCCCGAAAAGCTTGAACTCGGCCGCCTGGTGTCTCCAGCCGGACCCGAGCCGGGCTCCCAGCGCCTGGAACAAGTGCAGCGGCGGAGCCGGCGGGGCCCGCGATTGGTTCCCGGCTCCGCCCCGGCGGAAAGTTTGTGCCGGCGAGCAGATGGGCTCCGACGTCCGCGACCTCAACGCTCTCTTGCCGCCGTCGGTGCCGCCCCTGCCGGGCAACGGCAACTGCTCCATGCCGGTGAGCAGCGCGACGCAGTGGGCTCCCGTGCTGGATTTCCCGCCGGCGGCTTCTTACGGCTCGCTGGCCCCGCCGCCCTCGGCCTTCATCAAGCAGGAGCCCAGCTGGAGCGCCGGCGAGCCCCACGAGGACCAGTGCCTGAGCGCCTTCACCGTCCACTTCTCCGGCCAGTTCACCGGCACGGCCGGCGCTTGCCGCTACGGCCCCTTTGCGCCGCCCCCGCCGCCCAGCCAAGCGCCCTCCGGCCAGGCGCGGATGTTCCCCAACGGGCCTTACCTGCCCAACTGCCTCGAGAGCCAGCAAGCCATCCGCAACCAAGGTAAGCCGAGCGGGGTGGAGGGGTGGGTGGGGGCGGGGGGAAGCCTGCGCTTTTGGGGCGACCCCTCTCGCTTTCACCCAAGCCAGGGGTGTCCCGCTCGCTTGCCACCCGCACGACGGATGGGGAGAGGCTGGGAGACGTTCAAAGAGCCTTTCCTGGGACCGAGCGATCCCTGGCAAGCTCCCGAGCCTGAATTGTAATCCGAGGCAGCTGGGGGGAGGACGGTGCGGAGGAAACCTACGGGCCGATCTTGAGAATCTTTTTCAATATTTAAGCCACAAAGTAACAAAACGACGATCAAAGGGGAAGGGATATCTTCCAAAGGCGGCAAATTGGTTTAAAAACCACCGGGATTTCACAACCCGAACCACGAGAAGCTTGGACGTATGCTAGGATGGCTGTTACTAAAGGGTGCAAAAGAGGGCAACCATCTGAGACTCGGAGTCAATCGTTGGTCCTAAATATCCGGGTAGAAAATCCAACTGGAGTTTTAAAAAAAAGTTTTTCAATGCATGTGCATAGGACAGCTAGGGTGTTAACGTTAGCACATCTGGAATGGCACTTTTCGGAGTACTGTGTGGCTAAATCAATTTATGGGTTTGACTAGGCTGCAAGTCTTGGTCTTGTGTTGCTTCAGTGTTGGTCTTGGACTAAGTGGATTAACTAGTAGATTAACATACTTCAAGTGCCTTGAAAGCAAACCTGTGGATTAAAATGTAAACTTGTGAGAATGCCCTATTAAGCTTAATAAAACTTGGTTCCAAATAGGAATTTGATTTATTCAGGGATGTGCCATTAATTTACAATTGGTTATAGGTTCTCATCAGATAGATAGCAAACTATGCTAATTACCTTGTGAATTATAGTGTTTGTGTGTGTATTTTGAACACATATTTATGGATTAAATGGGTTTGCTGCTTCTAAACACAACTCTTCCCATGGAAATCCCTAATAAAACTATTTGGAAAAAGAGGGTTAAGGACTGAACAATTTTTTCTGTTGATACAATCCATATTCATCCCATTGAGTGGAACTGTGGGGCATGGACTTACAGTATGGTCTCTCCTATATGGTAACACCCTTTTGTAATATTACGCTTACTGGGTTTTCAAGCATTGAATGAATCAGACAATCGCTCCACCTTCTCCTTTCATAGTAGTGCTTCAGAGTGAAATTCAGCCAAGCTTCAGGAAAAGAAACTCAACGTTTGTAATTCTGAATTTAATCAGACTTGCTTCATTCCAGAATTAAAATTAGGAATGTGGTACACATGCAATCTTTAACATTTACTAAAAGTACATTGTCTTTCAATAGGAGTATCAACAATTCTAAACATGAATTAGCAATCTGATTGTTCTCACTTATCCAAGAAGAGAACCTATTGAGTTACCTACCCTAGATTTCTGCTTAAAATTCATGGGACTGTGCACTCAGTGGATTGTTGCTACAACTCTAATGCACATGGAATTTATCTTTAATAATTGCTTCACATATGGGCTTTCCTGTTACTTTCTGCTTATTTGCTAGTGTCTTTATGAATTGAACTTGGTATTCTCTTGCAAATATTATTTTAAGCAAGCAGGTACTGCAGTTTGTTTTTAACTGGGCTGGATATACAAAAACATTTTTAATGAATCTAACAGTTCAGTTAATATTACTGCAACTAATTGTTGGGATGATTTCTTTCAACGGGATTAAAGAATTGATTCCTGTGGAAATAAAAATTTAAAAAGCATAGGTAGTCATATAGCAAATAATGCTAAATGGATATTGAACATGGTGTGGAAGATTAATAATTAAAGTCTAATCTGGCTTTTAATGCAGCAAAAGTACAGTGAAGGAGCACAATCAAGATACTATATTCTTATGTTAGCTCACCTATATATTTTAGGAAGCTAAAACTGCACAGAGGGAGTTATAATGAAAGGAAGAAGGGGATGTTGTTCCCTGGATATCATTTTTTAACCCACAGAAGTTGCAAAAATCACCACGCTAATTTTGTTTTCTAAAATACAGTAATTTTGCTCCCTAATCCTATTGAAATCAGTGAGAACTATGGTGCAATCTGAGAATGAATGCCCTTGATCTCAGTAAACCTATGCTGGGTAGATATACCTAAGATTGCATTGCTTACATTTTCAGAATTCATTTATACTTTCCCAATAAACCCAAATCCTTTGTATTTGACACTTAGCATCACCATGTCTTAAGCAAGTCTATGCAAAAACCGGTATATGTTTCTTAGGCTGTAATGGGGACACTGTGCCAACAAGTACACAGTTCTCAAGCTACATTTCTAGAGTAGCACCTTCTTGAAGAAAGGACCATTGGTGTATAAATACAAGATGAAATATATTGCTTATTCTTACACAATGGAAACAACTTGACAAGGTTGTGTCCTAAAACATTAGTTTTTATCCTGATATTTTTTGTATGAACCAGAAAGGAATATTTTTGTGAAATTCATGAAACCACGAAACAACTGATCTTAACAAAAAAATATTACAAATGAAAAACAAAGGATTTTTTTTTATGGAGCATGCGCAAAAGAATGACAATATCATTAGAATATAATTCTAGGCAATAGCTTCAGCATACACACACACACACACACACACACACACACACACCTAGTATTATTAGGCAGAAAACAGTTAATGATAAATTCCATAATTATTTGCCTTTGGTTTGTAGTTAAGCCTGTTGCAGCAGTTACTGGTAGTTCTGTACTGCACGGTAATTGTGGTGAACAATTTAGAGCAATAGAGAGAATAATTCATTTTTAATAGCACATTTATTTTAATTATTCTTAATGCTGCACTTTAATATTCTTTACATGATTTTCAATTCTTTAAAAAAGATTTTATTAAACTTGAATGATTCTACAGATAACTTATTGCATCTAAAATAGTGAAATAGTCAGTGTTTTTCAGTACATTGACCCGTCTTACTCAGCAAGATGTTAAATTGTGAAGGCAATTTCTTCTTGTGACTACTATTTCAGAATTTCATTCCATTCCCTAAATTGCTTTTTCTCTTCTTGATCCCATTGCTTTCTTGCATTTGGTTAATGGTATTTTTTAACAATAGCACCACATTATTGGAATTCTGGAATGTAGCTATGGATCCAGCTTATATTTAAAACAATGGAACATACTTATTCCAGATGATGGGGATGCTGAATAAAAATGTATGTGTATTTATAGTGTGGGACAAGAGGAGAGATGATCCCACTTCATTAAAACTGTCAAAAACCTAAATTGCAGTTGGAAGATTTTTTGATATCATTAACTACCATCCAATGGAGTTTAATGGAGCCTCAAGGCCTCTCTTATAATATATAATATACAACACTCCTCAGCTCTTCTCTTATAATATATAATATACAACACTCCTCAGCTCTTCCAAATGTATAAGCATGCATGTATGCACACATAGAAAGGACTGATTTATTTTCAAAAAATCCCATTTGCACATGTGAGTGGCTACCCCACAGAGTTGGTTTGCATTTTATTTTATTTCTTATGAATAAAATAACACTTTTCAAAACTCTTTTGTGTTACCGCATCTCTTGATTGTTCTACGTAGTGATGGAGAAAGTAGCAAAAAAAAACAACAGTGAAAAAAGTCGAATTTCTTAACACAACGCTTGGCAGTTGTGCCCAAAGTAGAACTTTAATCAGAAGAGATTAGAGATTTAGATATGTTTGATGCCGTATATGCTGGTGTCATTTAAGAGCTGGGACTGGATTTTACATTTGAAAACGTAGTCCTCCCTGCTTATTCCAAAATAAAAGGGGAACTCCCATGGCCTTCATTTTAAAGGGATGGGCTGAGGAATCTAGGCGACTGATCTTTCAGCTCCTATTGTGTGGGCAAACGCAAGTGCTTTAGAGTTAGGCTGCAATTCCTAAAATGTAGGGAAAGAATCGTGTTTTTTTAAAAAATTGCAGAAGAATGGCAATGGGTGAGAAGCAGGTATAAATTTTAAAAGTTGTAAAAAATGCTCTGATGGCTCCAAACCAAAAAACAGGGGAGGGAGAAGGGGAAAATATTGGGGACCTTTAATGGGAGAGGGGGGGGGGGGGAGACAGAATTTGAGGATGTTGATAAGTTTGACTAATGAATATAACATCCTCTGCTTTGAGTCTATCAAGGTTGAATGTTCCATTTGAGATGAGGTTTTTCACCGTGGGAAAGACGTTACCTTGGTGTTTTTTGCCAAGCCTTCTCCGGGAGAAGGAAGTCTTCTGCTTTGAACTTTTTACTAGGCCTCCTGGCCTCGTCTCTCCCTCTCCTTCCCAGCAGCTGGATCCCTGAACAATTGCACCCCTTCAAAAGAATTGCCTTCTTCACCAGATGTCCACGTTTCAATTATTTTCAGCACATTTTAATCAGCTCAGCCTCCGATAAAGCCCTAATTAAAAGAGACCTCGCTATCAGGGGGCCGGTTCAGAACTCCAACCTCCTTATCGCATTCTTGAAGCTTTGGGTCATGCAAATGTGGCCAAAACACCCAATTCTGCTCCGGGCAGCCTTTTGAAGGCTACCAAACTGCTAGGCAAAGGCAGCTCTGGATCTAGAGCTTCGAGGAGTGTTTGGGGAGAGCCAAGGAGGAGGAGGGAAGCCTTGGCTTTGTGTGTTATGAGCTGAGATAAGGCAGTTCGGAGCAGCTGATGCCTGGAAGTGCAGGGGTTGGGCATCTGCCTGTCATCACTGTGTACACGGGCCCCGAATAGACAAGGGACGCTGAACACCAAGACGCATGCGGCAGCTTTGAAGGCTCAGGCCTCGCCAGCTCCTAGTTGCCTGCCAAATGCACAGGGTAGGTGGGAGGAAAAGAGAGAGGGGAGGGCAGGGGAGGGGAGGGGGATGGTTACAATCTACTGGTCAAGGTGTTTCTAGCCCCCTCCCCTTTACCTTCAGGTCAATGCATTGGGATCTCCACTCCGTGGACTGGGAAGGCAGAAAAAGCTGAACTTTTCAAAAGCCGTTTGATTCTGCTCTGCCAAAATAAAGTAGCCCATTCGCCTTAAAAAAAATTTTTTTTGAACGGACCTGTTATGACTTGAAGCCCCTCTCCTTCCAGGCTTTTGGAAAGTTTTGAGTTAGGGCAAGCTCAGCCCTTAAGTGCACAGGTTCAAGAATAAGGCCCCTTATAAAGGTCAGTGGCTTGGGTTTTGCAGCAAAGGAAGAGATTCAGTGATGAAAAGGCGGATTGATCCCCACTTCCTTGACAGCAGAGTCCCCAGAACTCAACAGGACTTCAGAGTAGACAGACTGAAATAAATTGTTTTCCCAAAAAAGTGGTCAGGATAAACACACTTAAGAGCAGAGGTGTGTTGGCTTGAAAACTGCATGGTGAAATATCTCTTTAAAAGAGTGAAGTGTGGTGGTGATAAAGGAGGGGCTTCCCTGAAAAGGGCCTTAAAACTGATGGTATTGTAGGGAGTAATGAAGCTGCAGAACAATAGGTGATCCCTAGGTTTTGGATCAGGCTTGCACGAATCCGTAAACGCCATAAACTCCAGAGACCGGGAAGCTTTGGAAGAAGAATTAAAATTTATGATCCAAGCAACTTACCTGGAAAAAATAAATCCATCGAAACAGGCCGATTTCTATATTCAGTGTTCTTCCTTTTAAAATATCTACAGATTTGCAGATTAGATTCACTTCCTTGTGTTGAAAATTCATCTGGAGAGGCCCAGATTTGGGGAAAGCTGAAGTAGGCAAAACGGTTTGGAGATTTCAGAGAATGGAATTCAGTGGGTTTAACTTTTAAAGTAAAGAAGTTAAATTTGAGACGTAGGTCGCCGGTACTTCTCAATAAGTAAAGTAAAGGAAAAGCGAGCTTCTGAATTGAGAAAAGATCCATAGCTTTCTTTTCCGGGCCCAACGCCTTCAACTATCGCTCCATACCCAAAGTGAGATTAGATTAACATTACAAACCAGAACAAAACAAATAGCGGAACATTCCTATTCCTGCTGTCACCATTAAAAGGTTTGCGCGCGTTTTTCTTCACAAGTTTTGGGTCATTTAGAAAAGTAAAAAATTGCGTCCCCAAGATGAGAGTAACGGTACTAGTGGTAGTAACATATTAGCAAGAGTCAGGAGGGGACGTTTGAATTGAACGGGCAGTTGATGAATTAAGGAGTTCAAGTCTACGTCTTTTAGCAAAGTCGTTTTTAGTCTTGAGTAGTTAGTGAACTAAATTGCATCTTGTGGGCGTTCAGTGATGCATTTATGCGAGGGATCCCCAATTCCTCCCCCCCCCAGCCTCAATTTCTCTCCCATTTCTTCAGTTTTGTCACAATCCATTCGCGGTTCTGTGCAAAATCCGATCCGATTTTCTAAGAACCTAAACGGCTTTTTGGGCAGTGAGAGTTTGTCCGGAAAAGCAGGCTGTTGGGTTGCTGCAGAAAAAATAAAGCATTTGCCGTTTTTTTCTTTCTTTCTTCTTATTTCCAGCAAAAAGCTACGGCTTATTTGCTCCTCTGAAAAGCAACTTCGGTATTTTGAATGTGCAAACCTGTTCTCTAAAGAGTAGCGAGTTTAAAAGAAACTGCGGAGTTCTAACTTAAACGTTCCGGAAGCGAAGCTCCCATAAAGTGATTATTTACCTTAAACAGCGCTTGGTGCGGTATTAGGAAAGCCAGGGAAGATTTCATAAGGACTTACGCTAAACGTTTCACGGTCTTAGGGCAAATGCTGATGCGCTGAGAAGTCTTAAAGATAATATTACTTCGTAATTACTTTTTCGCCGAAGTTGTTTAACTGGCTCCACGTAATTAATGAAAGTTGATGTCTAAACGCCTGATTTACGACTCGGTCTCACCTTGAGGTCACAAGAGACGATTTTTTCCCCATCTGAATTCGCTCCTTTCTTTTCCTTTTTAAAATAAGCTGTTTATTATTATTTGAAGCGAGTAATTTTCGGCTAAAGTAGGAGGTTATTTTTTCACTTTAATGGCCTGCCATTTTTATTGCAGGCTCTTCAGAAAGTTAATCTTACAAAACAAGCGAGAAACCAGCGAGAACGAGATTAAAGGGTAACTTGAACATGTGGAATGGCAGACAAGTTTGTTCAGCAGATCAGGGTTTTTTCTCTTGTCTATGGGGGACTATTAATGGAAACATTGCTTATGGGGGTGGGGGGGGGGGAATGCAGACACGGGCTTTTAAAAGATATTCCGGGTGGATTTCGAAACTGGGAAAATCCTTGGAGACTTGTTGCTCCAAACTCTTGCTGGCACCAAAAGTTTTAAACAAAAATCAACATCTAATTAATTTAATTTAAATCAACATCTAATATGCTCCTGATCCAGCAGTTTCTGCAGCTTTCATTGCTTTATCAAAGGAAGGCAGAGACACACAAACCCTCATTTCCACCTTTGAGTAATACTTTTCTTGGGACCAATTAGAAAGTTAGAAAATGGTGTACACAGTTTTTCAACTTCCCTCAGAACTTTTCACCGCTGGACAGCGAGTTTTTGGAGAACTGGAAAACCTTTCCCTATCATTCTGGGTTGGTGTAATTTTTTACATTTTAAATAAAACTTATTTGTTTACACTTATATGAATTTTGACTTCGAGGCTGATTGTTGGAAGATGCGTCTGGCTTGCTCTCTGCTTTGAATGGACATCTAAAACCAACTTTTTAATCTTTTTATTAATGGGCGGCGGCAGCAGCCTCTTTGCCCAGGCAGGCTGACCTCGGATTGTAAAGGTAGGAAGGAGGCACCACAGGAAAACAAGCCTGCCCTCTATTCGATGACAACCCTGCCGTCCACGTCCAGAGGGGAGCGGGGTCCCTTCCTTCCCCGGTTGGGTGATTCCAAGTTCAGGGTTTTGGCCCCCTCTCTTTTGCAGAAAGAAGCCATCTGCTGCTGTACACAGCAGAGGCTTCCTATTTTCTGGCAACTTTGCGCCTTCTGCCTGTCTGGGGGACGCTCTTGCAGGAAGAAAGTTCAAGGCCAGGCGATTCAGCCCCTGATTCCGACCCTGTTGTTCTCTTGGCAGGTTACGGCACAGTGGCGTTTGATGGAGCTCCAAGTTACGGCCATACTCCCTCTCATCCTGGGGCACAGTTTACAAACCACTCCTTCAAGCACGAGGACCCCATCGGCCAGCAGACGCCTTTAGGTAATGGTAGCGGAAAACATCTGCACGAAGAACCGATCCCAGTGGGAGAGAGGGGAGTTGTTTGCTACACACGCACACACACAGACTCCCTTTAATACTGGGGCCTGTGCCTGTTCTAACAATTGAGAGGATTTGGCATGTCTGTGTGTGCCTAATCTGGCTCATCCTAATGGCAAAGAGAAGTTGGATAATTGGGAAGCTGGGGACGGGACCGGATGTCAATAAAAGTGTAAGACTTACAACAGGCTTTGAAACCTCTGTGGGATTATTGTAACACTGTTTTAACCCCTCCGTGAGCCAGGGAAGTAATTTCGTGGGCACTGAAGAGACCTTGCTCCAGCATAAACCAATTGTAGTCAAGCACAATTTTTGGAGTTATCATCCACCAATTTTCCTCAATATTGATTCCCTCCAAGTTTTCTATTTGGGCTTTCGGCTCCCAGAATTTCTAGTCAGTATTGATGATAATTGGCTGAGGATGGCAGGAATAGTTGTTCAATATATCTGGGGGACATCGGAATGGGGAAAGGAAGAGTGGATTAAATTAAGCCAGTGCAAAAAGCTCTTGCCTACTCCAGAACTAAGACATGTATCATTGTATTTTAAACTTGGTAACACACTTACCTGGTAGCAATTTTTTGTGCCCCTCTTTTTACCCCTGTGTGAATCTACTTAAGACTGAGCTCAGTAAGTAGTACATTTCAATGAAATCAATGACAAGATCTACAAAACGTCTTTATAGTTTCTAAAGTGTAGATCTAGAAAACTCAAAATTATGTTGGAATCTTGTTGGTTCTGACATTGCTACTTTACTATAGTTACATTTATAATCCAGACTTTCTATTGTAAGGCACTAAAATAATGTCATTTTTTACATTACTGTTAAATAATTTGAGCACAGATCTAAAGATTAAGCATCAGTTTCAAGTACCATCAAAAGCAAATGGGGCTTCAAAGGTATGTTAGCTCACACACTCAGTTAAAGGAGTTTTCTGATTTGCAGGATGCTTTGAACCATGGGCTAACTATATTGGGGATGGCTGTGTGTTCACATTGCACATTAGATGAAACCTGGTAGTTTGTATTCAGTGTGTTGTGAAAAGTGTGTTATGTCGGGTGCAAATAGTGCATTTGCTATGCTTAATGCTCAGGATTACTTCCCAAGGAAAAACTGCTTTGAAGCAGCTTTACAAAATTGCTTACCCATATCGCTGCACCCATATTAAAAACAGGAAACAAGTGCTTTGGGAAATTAAAAAAAAAACATGGATTGAAATCTGAAACAAGGGCCACTCATCAGATGGCCCTCCAATCACCCATCCCAAAGGTGCTTTTTTTCCAAGAGGCAACTGGACTTTCTGGTTTCTCTTTGAAGACATTTCGCTTCTCATCCAAGCTTGGATGAGAAGTGAAACATCTTCAAAGAGAAATCAGAAAGTCCAGTTGCCCCTTGAGAAAAAGCTTCTTTGGGACAATCATGACCTGGATGACTGAGAATCTCCATAGACTCCAGTCACCTATTGTATTTTCTCAAAACTACTTTATTATCCCCACAAATGAATGCAACAACTGAAATAAAGATTTGATCATCTAGTGAGAACTCCCTGCTCCAGCTGACCACCCTAAAGGCAGCTTGAAAGGGACTAGAGAACGCTGCCTCCCCACTCCAATATGTGACCGTTAATCAGTCATGCAACGGGATTGTGATTTTTTTTTTTTTGTGTGGCTTGTCTGCAGGTGACCAACAATATTCGGTGCCTCCCCCAGTGTACGGCTGCCACACTCCCACAGACAGTTGCTCCAGCAGCCAGGCTCTTCTCCTGAGGAACCCTTACAACAGGTGAGAATCATTACTATATCCTCCATCTTCTTTTGCCTCCTGAAATTTGGGAAATCAGCTTTTGGGATTGGCTCTAATGCTTCCCTGAAACAAAGAGCTCCTTCTCTTTTCTTCTCCCTCCTTCCTTCCACCTGACTTTATTCTACCTCTGAGAATAGGGCAAAGAGCTTACCATGTCACCGTCTCTAGTTCTCTTTGAGAAAAAAGGAAAGAAATAAACAGAAAAAGAGAAAGATAATCAACATGGGTAGGGAGAGTTATGGCTTATTAAATATGAAAATATGTGGACAAAATTGTCAGACAACAGTGGAGTCTCTTTTTGTGCCTCTAGGTTGTTTTCCTAACTATAACCAAATATTATTTTTGAAGGGTTGATCCCATCAGACTAATAGAGGAAACTAAGAAAAAGACAGGTAGTATCCAAACATAAATAGGACTTGGTTTTTTTGAGTAACTACCAGTTGCAATATAGGCAAGGAATGATGGATTTTAGAGTCCTAATCCCTGCAGGCCACCAGGCTGGATAACTTTATTGTAAACGTTACTGTCCCCATGAACAGCTCTCTTCGGCCGTCAACTTTTACCATTAACGCAGGCTTAAAATTTGCACAATATTTATTTCTTTAGAACTTTCCCAGTGGAATGACTGCCAAAAATAGATGAGTTTTTTTGCCGTTCTATTCAGTCCTTCTTTTCAGACTTGCTCATGTCCTCTGGTAGAAACATGTGACTTTTTAAAAAGAGAGGAATGACTTTTTCCAGGATATTCACCCTGGAAATATATCATTCTGGTCTGCATTGAAATGAATGAGACTAATCTGGTTTAAGAGAAAAGTATTGGTGATAGTAGTGTGATAGAAAGTTACAGAACACTGCTAATTAGTGAGCTGGAGGACTGACTACTTAGTTCCTTAATTTTTCTTCATTGGAGCCAGTGACAAAAGCCCATCTCCTGACACATGGGAGAAAGGGAATCATTGGGTGTGTTCCTTTCCACTAATACAGAAGGACAGAAAGAAATAGAGCTACTTAACAAGTGTTAAAGGCATCTCTGAGGAGAAAAAAAATATGTCCCAGAATTGTTGGGCTTTAAAATTAATCAGAATAAATTCCCTGCAGTTCTCACCAACTGTGAGAAAAGAGAACATTACTATTTTAAGTTGGTCGGTTACTAGTTCAGAACACCATTCTTCTTTCCCCTCTTGGAGTGGGCCCAGCACATTCCTGAACCCTCATTTCAGAATTTATATCTGAGAGTTGTGGGGTGTATCTACTCTTTTATAACAACCTGGATCTTTAAGGTGAATTTTAAAGAGAGTGATGGCAAATGTGGCTGAGAATATGATTGAGAAAACTATTTCTTAAGTGTCTACCTACCAAACTGAAGCTATCAAGCAGTTAGCTTCTATTCTTAATGAGCTTTAGAGTTTGATCATCATAAAGTTAAAAAAAGTAGCACGGTTTGTTAGTCCGTCCTTGGAGCCAGCAGCCTGTGCTGTTTTGTTGGATAAGACCATGGGGGAAAGAAGGAAGGGGGAGGCACCTTTTCATTTATTTTGAGCTTGCTTACCAGCCAGAACTAAATTCTCTTCTCTTCCCCCCACCTAGTCTTCAACTTTTGGTGAACTTGGAACAACCCTATGTCTTGGGAAGCTGCTGAGAAATATTATGCACAAAACAAAAGGGGAGCTCTTCAAAGAGGAACTATAAAACATAGTTTTATAGGCAGGCACCCTCCATAGGAGTGGGGACTGTACTTCCCAGAATTCTTTAGTCCGCATAGAAGTTAAAGCTCTAAGCACATTGGTACATCCTCAGCTGGAAAGCTGCAACAGGGATTAACTGTACTGTAGAAGAATATGCCTGGCTGTATAGTTTGTGCTGATTGGCAAATAACAAAAAGTCAGCATCTCTCCTGTTCTCAAAATCTACTCTTCCTGTATTAGAGAACTACAGTAATGTTGAGCATTTTAAAAAAATTAACCAATCAGTCTTATTCATATGGAGAAATCAGTGAACAAGGGAACAGTACAAGACAAATTTTTGAGGCAAAAGCCCTGAGGTATGTGTAGACCTAGACTTGACATTGGATCTATTGGATGTGTATTTGATATTTTAATCTTATCAACGTTTTCATAATATCTTTAGACCAAGCACTGTACGTGTCAAGCTTTTGAGTTCTTTAAAACCTTTAATCAGGAAAATTGTCACAAATCAGAAATGATGGGGAAAGGGGAAGACAGTTCAAAAGTTAGATTCAGAACTTTATATATCTTATCAGAAATAAGTCTGAATTAAATGACCCTGAATTTTGAGTGCACAAAGCTGAATCTTAAATCAGGTCAAAGGGAGGCAATTCCCTGTCAAGGCGAGACCCCAAAAGGAAGATAAAAGCACAAAACACCTGAGACTGTTATGAAATGAATGTTTTAGGATTTGCAGGCAGATCCAAGGCCACACTGGGCTTTGCTTCATTAAGCTTAATGAGCAACAGCTGAGCTGTGGAGTTATGGTCAGCTGTAGAATAGACTTGTATCCCTGGCATGCAGGGATCTTCAAACTTGACAGCTTTAAGACTTGTGGACTTCAACTCCCAGGATTCGTCCTCCAGTCATGTTAGCCCAGGGATTCTGGGAGTTGAAGTTCACAAATCTTAAACTTGCCAAGTTTGAAGACCCTTGACCGACAGCTTGGTGCTAAAAGCAATGCTGCAACAGATAAGACTGGAAAAATACGTTATTTAGGGCCTAGGCAAAGATCTGGCCTTGTCAGATTCCACTTTTCCGAAAATGGCATCCTTCCGATGCATTTCAATTGTTACAATTCCTAATCACCATGGCCGTGTGAACTGAAAATTATGGGAGTGTGTCTTCCAGAGCAGGAAGTCTCTGGTCATTAAATGATAGTTTAAAATAGCTTTTCATTTGCGTGAACCTCATTTTGTCCAATCAATTGCTAAATATTTATCTTATTTTAATTAATGTGGGTTCATTTATAGATATATCTTCTTGCAAATTACTATTTCTTAGCTGCTGGTTTTGTAAACTTCTCCAATCATAGCTGGAATCTTTTTATGAATGCATTCATTCCAAAATATTTACAGTTCCCTTTTCTCTATAAAGGTTTAGATCACAGGTGTCAAACTCGCAGCGTCACATGATGTATTGGAGCTTTTTCCCCCTTTGCTAAACTGGGCATAGCCAGTGCGTGACGCATCCGGGCCACAGGCCTGGAGTTTGACACCCCTGGTTTAGATGGTCACTAGGTTACATGTTTACTTTTTTAGTTTTATATTTTTTGTGGTCTGCATTAGTTTTTAGTTTATATTTGTAATCTTTAAAATGTTATTTAAAACAACCAACAGTTACAAACTTACAGATAGCATAGCTGAAGATAAAGAGAAATAGCACAGAAACGTAACTATGACATTTTAAAGGTAATTTATTTTTAAAAAGCAATATTATATGTGAAAATAAATCATTTCACCAATTCCCACAAGGCTGCTAAGCACAAACAGCTCCCTTGAAAAGGAGTTCCGGAGGTTTAATATGGTGACTGAAAAGATCCTGCAATTTGGTAAATTCCCTGAGTTCACAGGGATTTATCTCCCTCGTGTTTATTATCTGAATATTATTGTCATTCTAATGGTGTGGTGAAGTTAACAAAATGTTTAGGCTTTAAGAAGTGCTGTAGATAAATAATTCTGGCTTTTCTTTCTAATTATAACTGATTGTAAAAAAAAAACTTGTGAGGATTTACTGAAGTTCTTTGTTATGTATTAGCAATATAATTATAATCTGTAATCCCTATTTAATCTATGGGTTGACAGAACATTGATTCTGCCATATATTTAGCTGTTTCTCTTATCTGCTCAACAGCACATAAAAACAGACTTAATATTTCTTACTTTAGAAGCTGATATAAACATTTGTTTTCTTAGTCTGATTTGCAGCAAAAATATACCACTACCAGCCAGTCATAATTTTTAAAAGTTACTTTTTTGACGTTTACTGTACTCTTCTATGTCTTTCTATTTTAAATTTCTCCTATTTTAAACTTTAATTTGTAGAAATGAATTTCTAATCTTCAACTCCCAATTTCAGACTTCTGATACAGCTGAATTATGTATCTTGTATACATTTTGCAGTCTGGGCTCTGATTGGAACTCTTCAAAACTTAGCTTTTAGTGTTATTTAAGTATTTGATTCATCCATGGAAAAGTAAGAACTCCCAAAAGCAATGATGTCCCAGAATCCTGATCGAATGAATGAGACCTTAAATAACTGACTTTCCAGTAACTGTTGAACCTCCATAGTGCCTACTGACTTGAAATTACAACTTCAATAATTTCAAAATGTAGATTTCTAAAGATAATGATGCTACACTGTGATACAATAAAATTTGGATTTATTTTTCTGAATGCTTATTGATTTATATTCAAATAAAAAACCAGGATAATTTTTCAGTTTATACATATTATTATAAAGGACGCCTCAATAAAATTGAATGTGCCAATAAAACTGTATAGATTAGACCAGGGTGGTGAATTATATTGCAAAAATTCTTAAAATGCCATCCCAAAAGATTAAATAATGGCAACTGGACCAAAGTTCATGAAGCTGAGATATTTCTTTATTCATCCAACAAGTAACTTCTTCAGTCAAAATGAAAAAATTAAGTTAGGCAGAGACTCAGAAAGTCATTGCAATGCACCAACTGTTGCCATAACAATTGCAGGGTTCCCCCCCCAAAAAATGTATTGCAAATGTAAACGAAGATTCAATCATCCAGCCTAAAAACACCCAAAAAGGTTAAATCATGGCAACTGTACCCCAGAGATACCCCTGCAGTTGTTACGGCAAGAGCTGGTGCATTCCAACAACTCTGCTCCTCTGGCTAACTTAAATTTTTTTCATTTTATCTGAAGAAGTTACTTGGACGAGTAAAAAACGTCTCAGTCTAATGAACTTTGGTCCAGTTGCCATGATTTAATCTTTTTG